AAGCAATGATACTATTAAAGACTTTCTCTATATAATAGAAAAGGTGTTTTCTAACGATAACGTTGAAGTTACAGCCAAAGATCTTAGCGCAGAAGAGAAAAGGTCTCTTATGAATATTATTAGGAAGAACTTATACAATAGAAGCATATTTGATCGAAAAATAGAAAGGCTAATGCAAACTTTAAAAGTTGCAATATCGATTGGAAAAGAAGATATAATTGAAAAAAAGGCTATATCTACAATCAATGAACTTATAGAGAAAAATGTATTCGAAGCACAAAAGTGTGGTGTTTACGAGAATATGACAGAAAACCCTGCACATCTAAGTGAGTCTTCTCTTGACAGCACAGTATTCAAACTAGCGGTTAAAACAGCAAATACTGCTGTAGGTGCAACCGAGCTATTGCAAGTAGCTTCAAAACAAATAGACAGCTATGTGTATTCACGTGTTTTTAAAGAGGACAAAGAGCTGGCTGATCTAATGAGCATCAAAGAGCACTATTCAGACGAAAATGGGCTATATGATCTGGATGAGTTGTATAGTGAAACATTGGGAAATGGAAAAAGTTTAGTAGAGCACGGGCTGCAAATTATTTATGAAAAAGCAAATGAAATAAAAGAGCTGAGAAAAGCAATTGAGGACAGCAATGGCAATCCTGATGATATACAGAAGATATTCAGTGCGAATTTTATAGATAAAAACGACTTGAAAATACTCATGTCTCTCATGCAGCATAAAGATAAAATCAGAAAGGAAAGATCTATTTTCAGAAGCATTCATAGAATAATAGCAGAAAATAATATGCAAAATACTGAAACAGCACGCCTTGATAAAACTGTAGACGAAGTAGACTTTTCAAATCACGGCTCGGTCTGGGATATTATGGAAAGCATAATAACACCAGTAGATGTACAACTTTTAGCACAGTGTAGTAAAATGCGTACAGAAATAGAAAAGTCAACTGAAAATTATGAAAATTATGATGCTGAGATAAAGAAATGGCAAGCTGAAAAGTCTAATGTTTCCGGCTATAAGACAAAATTAAATGCAAAAAAGAAAAAGAAAAGAGAGCTAAAAGAAATAAATGAAAGCAATATAAAAAAATTAGAAGAATTAAAAGCTAAACTCGAAAAATTTGGATTAAAGAAAGCGAAATTTATTGTTTCTAGAAATGAAAAGATATATAATAATATTTCGGAGCTGTCTCCAGCACAGAAAACATTGCTTGTAAAAAGGTCAGTTGAGTTCTCATCTGGCATAGAAGACAGCGAGGCAATGTCAGCCAGATCTATAAAAGATTTTATTTACGATGCGTATTTGAAGATAAAAACAGCTGTGCAAAAGATGCCTAAAGAGGTTAGAGTTATATTAATGATAATAATTGGCTCGCTGTCTGTTGCAGGAATAAGCATGCTGATTTGGCGTCTCTTACTACGGTACACTTCTACCAGCCATACTTTAAAAGTATAAGCTGATCGCACATGCAATTATTTTCTCAAATGGCCTTTAGGCCTTTATAGTTCCAAGGGTATCTATAAATGCAGCAATGAATTTTACATAGCACCAGGAATGAAAAACAATAAACATATATTGTTCAAGTTGAACTTATTTGAAACCTTTCTATTGTATCAAGAGCTATTTGTCAAAAGGCTTCACATAAATCAATCTCTAGCTTGCTACTCTATAGCATGACTGCAGTCTAATAAAAATAACTTACTTCAATGTTATTTTAAAATTCATTTTTATTTGCCAAGCACTAACATAAGCAAAGTGTAGGTAGAGTAGAAGAGTTTCAATTTTTTATTATTGCTCAATGAATTTTATTTTATTTAGAAGTAATACTACTAGTAAGTAGAAAAAGAATGGTTAAATGCTGAATTTATTTAGTGATAAAAGAGTTAGTCCAACAACTGCATGTTTATAGAACTGGCTTAGAGAATTCTATTCAGCTTCAACTTGATTAGCTTTTAATAGATGCTTGCTAATTTATTCAGCTGTCTCTTCAGTTGTTTTGGACATTCCCACTTTATTCACACCTAGAATTTATTCAAATAACACTGGAAATCTTTAGCTATATCATCATACTCCTGATGCTTTTCTTCACCGTAAGTCACACTGGTAGTTCTTATAAACCATGCTATGATGCAGCTCTTCATATGATCTGCTCGCGTTGAGTCGCTATTTTCTTTTCCTATTTTGTATAATCTGAGAAGATTGCTCTCTAAATCTCTTTCCGAGAAAGGCTTTTTATCGCTTTTAATGTTTGTTTTGCATAGATCGTTAACATACTCACATCGCATGTATATATAACGCATGGGGTGGATGTAGGACATATCGAAGCACATCATGTTGAATTTTTTCTCATCGTTAGTAGACTCTTCTAATGGAGGGATGGGTATATTCAGATTATACATCCATCTGGAAGACATAAACATATTCTGTGTATTTTTAAAGAAATAAGTCTCGATATCATTGTTACTGCAGAAAAATTTAACATTTTCTTCAGGGAAATTTGAAACAAATGTATTAATACCACCATTCCAAAAAATCTGCAAAAAATTAAGCAGCTCTTTCTGTCTACTTCTCGCTATTTCTAAACCTTTGTGAACATCCGTGCTGTACTTAGCTGGATTTCCTATGTTCATTATTACTTTTCCGATGTTAGAAAGCAAGCTGTTTCTTCTGTAGTCCATAAAAGCTCCATCCATGTTGATTTCACATTCTGTTATCAATACTTTCATAAGCTGCTTGGGAGTCATATTCTTGTATTGCTCCACTTTTTCTTCTGAAATATCCTCATTTACTAAGTCAAGATAGATTCCCATTATATCTGCATCCCGAGCTGGATCAATTCTAGAAGTATTGAATAAGGAAGAAAGATTCTTATCAAGTATTTCTAGAAGGTCGATCTCTGTTCCTATTTCTTTACCTTTTAATTTATTTTCTATAATAGGGTAGACATAACTCCAGAAGTTGTCAAGGAAAAGACACCGATCTATTTTCCTCAATGTGCGATTTAATACATCTTTTGTATCGTAAAGACTTGTTAATGGTCCCACATCAAAGAGAAGATATATTAAACGGGCAGCCAGGGGCTTATTCTGCTCTGCCAGCTTGAATATATTTAAATTATCCATTTTTTCATTTTTGTTCTTTGCTTCGCTGTACTTTTTTATTACCCCCAGCATGTGCGAGTCAAACTCTTTTATTGCTTCGCTTAGTGAGTCACTTTCTCTAAGAGTCGATGGAAGCGCATTCAATATTTTATTGTATAAGTCATTTGTTTTACGCAGCAGCACAGTTTTGTCCTCGTAATACATCGAGGTCTTGCTAGTACTATCACTGTATATTTTAGTAATGTTTTCTGCTCTTGCTACTATACCTTCCGCACTTATATTGAAAATATTTAGCTTTTCTTCTATTTTGGAGAGATTTATTCGTCCCTCGACTATGTCTCTACTAAGAATATCAGATGATATTTCTTCGCACTTAAAATTCTCTAGCCTATTCATAAAATCAACACGAATTTCTGCCTCTTTTTCCATGCACAATATCTTTTTAGAAAAATACTCCTTTATGTTTAATGCTTCTTTTTCGGTTGAGATACAGCTAGCTCTTTGTAAGTAAACCAAACCTAGTACTCCTGCTATTACCTTTTTTAGCACTCTTGGAATCATAAAAATTAAAATATTTTCACTTTTATACTTGGCTATTTTTACTTTTGCCAAGTGGATGTCTATTTTTACTTTCTCGCCTATCCCACTATATTTCAGCAGCTGGTGCAAAATGCACAGAGCTAAAATGTACTATAATTAAGTAAAACAAGCAATAATATAAATGTAAGATGGATAAATCACTAGTAAGAGAAGAGTATATTATGAGGATAGAAATAGAATGGTTAAATGCAGTTTTATTTAGTGCCATAAAAGACTAATAATCATGGATTAAATAAGTACTAAAGTACTACATTCTTCCTAAGAA